TCATTTATGATTAATTTAGTACCCGAAGGTAATATGATGCATGCTCTTCTAGAGCCTTCAATTAGGTCACTAACAACAAATATAGTACCAATAAGGGTCTTGATTGGAAATAATTCAGAGAAATATTTCTTATATTTTAGGATTGTGTTGGTACTACCACTATCGATCAAAGATACATCACCAATAAGAGCTCTACTAGAGCTTGTGATCATATTTCTTCAAGAAATTAAAATAATGATTAATACTCATTCATTCAAAAATAACCTCATAAAACTTCGAAAGGGTCGCGAGAAAGAGGCAAGGTGGAAAAAAAGATTCTTGATTTTGATTGAAAAAATTAGGGGTATGAGCGTGCTGATAAGGTGTTGTAAACTGAGTAGTTTATTCATCATATGTTAGAGTTTTTATACATATATATAATATATGTGAGGAGGTAAATTTTAGGTAAAAAAGGAAAAAAGATCTTCTAATTAATAGGAGAAATATAAATGTGACTATTCTAGGTATTCATAATATTGTCAATAGTACTAATTTACAATTCATATTATAAGCGATGTCTAGTAACACATTATCGCCACCAAGTTATAAACATAAAGTTCCTTACAATAACACCTTCAATGACACATGACATTTGTATAACTCACTATTGTCTTGATTTAATACAATAATGTATGAAAAGTGTCATCTTGTTAGAGTTAAAACTTTGATTTACTAATTCTCAAGTTGATTTTTTGAATTCAGATCACCTTAATATCACATACTCACTCCGTCCATAAATAAACTTTACGTTTACTATTCACAGGGTCAAACTTTATTCACTTTCTGGCGATAAAAGCAGTGGGTAAACTATTTTATTATATCAGTACAGTGGAGATCAAAACATCTAGAAAACTATATCAAAAAATTATACATTAAAAATAAAAAGTTAAGATGTGGTAAAAAGTATATTTTACTAAACTTTTATTGAAGTCAGTTTGTAGCATTGCGCGTTACATTTCAAATAAACACCTGCCTCCCTCATAATTAATTTATCCGAGCATGATCATTCACTTCTCAAGTCCAATGAATCAGCGGGTCTCAAGACATTACACTTTAGTACAATGAAAAGGATAAATTCTTTCTACATGATTCATTCACACATTTGCATATGTTTCACTACCTATGCCCAAAACAATGGTTGAATGACTTCAAGTCTAAGTATATTTATAACAATGGTTGAATGAAAATACTATTAACACATTAAAGTAACACCCATATAGTATTCTCATGGTGGGTCAGTTCAGGACCATATCTCTAAATATGTACCTACATATAGATTGAGATATCACAATATCCATAGTCTTTTAGACGTACACATCTATCTTGTCTCATACAAATTAGTCCTATTATATTTTAACGTCTGTATGATCATAATATTTGACTAAAGACATTTTAGACATAGCCTTTATATATGTAACAGTCTCATGAATCAAATCGTAGTTCTAATCTACGCTACCAAAGCATTAAGTCTATAGACTGATTAGACACACAAGATGTATCAACAATGTTCACAGCTTATTATTCATAATAAATATAACATATAGGCCCTATTCTTTTCAACTTATTTTTTCTGCTTTTTTCTTATTCTTATTAAAATCAGATCAGATCCAATTAGATCAGATCCAATCAAGAATTATTAGTATTATTATTCATATTCTTATTATTATTATCATAATCATTATCATTATCGTTATTACTCCATACTTTTTAAATTTCATACTTTTTTCTTGTTTCACATAATACGATTCTTTCAAAAAATTAAATTAATTTCTCTTGAAAAAATATAAGAAGAAAGAAAATGAAACTTTTGTGCGATTAAAATTTATGTAGAGGAAGATAAAATGATATGAAGCACAATTTTTTCTTAAAAATGAAAAATAATGACTTTAAAAACAAGTTAAATAGAAAAATGAGAGAGTAATCCTTAATTATTAGACGCCGGAAAAATTATTTTTAAAAATACGTTGACAATGTCAATCTAATTCTACTTTTAAAATACATTTTTATTGCTGCCTGTAATTTGAATTTCTAAAGTTTTGATCTTTTACTACATCGAGTTGATCAACTTTGATCATGACTTAAAAAAATTAACATTTGATATTCATATACGGAGTATATTTTAGAATAACCGAAATAACTATAATATCCATGGTGTTATATTAATCATAAAAAAAGTTTCGTAGTATAAAGCACACGCTGAATTAAATTTTTGAAAAGACAAAATTAAGAATAATTTATGGAGAAAATATTCGAGTAGAATTCAAATTAAACAAATCGATACAGTGCAACTTGATAGAGCAAAAGAAATTTTAGATTCAATGAGTGGGATTAAAGAGAATATGAGTGTGTAACATTTTATGCAATGTATTATTTATAGCATACAACGTTTTTTGTCCAGCACATCTAGCATGTAATATATTATTATGCAAGATGCAGAAAATATATTATTTCTTTGCTTAACATTGATATTTTATAATGATTAGATATTTTAATAAAAATACTATCTCTTCTCTATATTGATTATTCATAAAAAAAATAATCATAAAATAAAAAATATTATTACATTATAATATGAATGGTTATTCTAATATATGAATTAACTAATTTTATTTCATTAAAAAATAATCATAAAATAAAAATTATTGATTATATTATAATATGAATTATCATTACAATTTTCAAAAATTATTATAAAGTCAAATCAAATTATTGATTTGAATTTTAAATCAAATCGTAATTAATTAGATCAGATCAGATCAAATTCAATTAGATCAGATCAGATGAGATCCAATCAAATCATATGAGATCAGATCAGAACTACAAAAAATCAGATCATATCAGAAAAAATAAGTTGAACGGAACTGAGCCATAGTCATCATATGATTGACCACTTAGGCACATAAACTCAACATCTTTGATACCAAAACTGTAACAAACTTGTATTGACATGTTTCTATGACAATGATTTTGTAACACCAGATTTGTCACAGTTTTTTTTCACTGAAATTCTATGATAAACTACATTCACAAAAATCTTGTTTTATAATTAGTGACTCATACCCTTGAGTCTTGGGTGGATCTAGGGCTGGGTTGGGAAAACCGAAAATCGCAAATCGAACCGAAATCAATCGAAACGAGCTAGAAAAAAACCGAACTGAAAAAACCGAAACCGAATGTAGAAAAAGCAAACAGAACCGTTACTGTTTTGTTTTCGATTTGAAAAATCAAACCGAAGCGAAAAATTGATTAGTCTATTAAAGATCATAGAAATATAAATGAAAATAACTAATTAGTGTATTAAAGTTTTTTCTTAACTATTAAACATTTTAAACCATATTATAAACTTCAAAAAACCTACGAATTTGAACATCAATAACTAATCTTAATACGGAGTTATATTAATATTAAAAATTGATACAAGTAATCTACATATTTACATGAAAAACTTTGATATTATAATGGAAATGAAAGTATTGTACCAAAAAACGTAAATTCTCTATAATTGATATTTTCAAACAAAAGCTTAAGGAGTACATTTGGAATCTCTTAGATGTTTGTTGGGCACTCGACCCATATTTTTGTACATAAAGCTGAACTGAATCGAACTCTAACCTGTTGTTCAGTTTTTGGTTTTGGGTAAAAATTGAACTGAAAAAACTGAACCCAACCCTACGTATTTTGGCTGCTTCTTCAAGATTGTGTTGTTACAACTTTTTTTAATGCTTATAAATTTTTATTTTTAAAATCAAAAAAACCTAAATAAAAACTACATAAGACTGAACCAAGTAACCAACGATTTACATATTTTTGGTGTAGAACTGAACCGAACCATACCGCTATTTTGTCTTTTATTTTGAGTGAAAACCGAACCGCTAAAATCGAACCCACCCCTAGGTGGATCCGTGAATATAGTACTAATTTTAGTATTTCATCACACTTTTCTATTCACTGTATTTCAAGCAATGTTTATTAGTATAGCAAATTAGAACTTACCTTTAATTTATTCAAATTAATCTTTTCCTTATTGTCTGAACCAATTACTCGTCTATAATAGTAATAATCTATATTATTAATACTATTCCAAACCTATGCTTTTAAACATGCATGCACACATTTTAGGCATAATCATTCATGTCAAATTTTTTTGGTGAGTTGTTGGTGGAGAAATTATTTGGGACACCCTACTCTTAATCAAGTTTTAATTCATATAATGAACAAAATATATATAAATGAATTTTATTAAATTAACTATTATTGAAATAAATATTGTTAATTTTTTTTATAAGTAACTGACTATAAATTTTTGAGATACATCTAAGTTGAATAAATATATACTTCCTTAGTTCCATGAAATTCATCCTGTTTGAAAAAATGCGCTTTTTTAAAATAAATAATTTTAGTGTTATTTCCTAATTATGAATCGTACACATCGCATCCTACTCTATTACTTTCTCCATCCCATAAAGATGTCCCCATTTTGACTTTCCAAAAATACCTTTGGTCTGATGATAAAGTAAGATGTGATAGGTAAATTATTAATAAAATGGTATGACATTATGGATAGGATAAGAATTATTAAAGGTAAAAATTATTTTTAATAGAAATAAGGACTTTGTGAGACAAGGAAAAAACGAGTGTTTGGGACCGAAGGAGAATAAATTAAGGGCAAAGTTAAAAAAAATATATTAAAATTACTCATTTTAAAAGTGCGCTTTTTTTTGAAATAGAAAAAAATTTTATGGGACGGAAGGAGTACTGTATTCGTTTCATAAAGTAATTGTACTTTTACTTTTCTTATAAAGAGTATGAAACATTTTCATTTTCCATTAAAAAGTCTATTTATCCAACTTATCACGTCATATTTATTCACAATCTATCTATAAATCATATCCCACTTTTATTCGTCACCTCTATTCACCTCTATATATATATATATATATACAGCTCTCTCGACCTTAATTAGCCTCCCTCCCCATCCAAGTTGTCCGTTGAGTTTATGATCTTTTATTTCGCGGCAATATATAGTCGAATTCGTTCCCCGGAGGTGATCGAGGATGGCAACGGCGGCGGCGTTCAACGTGGAGGAGGTGGTCGAGGTGCTGGAGTCGCTGACCCGGGATGCTGGGAAGGTGCAAGAGGAGACGCTGAGGAGGATTCTTGAGGAGAACAAGGAGACGGAGTATCTGCAGAAATGGGGTCTTAACGGAAGAACTGACCCCGTCAGCTTCAAGGCCTCCGTCCCTCTCGTCCTTCACATGGACTTGGATCCTTACATCCAAAGGATTGCCGATGGGGATGCCTCTCCCGTCCTCACTTCCAAACCTGTTACCGCCATGTCCATGAGGTATATATATATAATTTTTGGTGGCATTGCATTAATTTTTGGTTTGCATAAGTATAATAAATGTTGGTTTGTGAAGCTCGGGGACAAGTCAGGGGAAGCAGAAGTATATACCCTTCACGGAGGCCATGTTTAAAAGCTCACTCTTTGTACTCAGCACTTCATTTGCATACAGGAACAGGTACGTACCCCTAATTACTCCATCCATTGTCAACTTATTATTATACTCCCTAGCTACTTCGTATTACAGCTGGTTGGTTGGTTTAGAAATAATTAATTTTATTCAACCCTAGCTAATGGAATAAAAATATTCTACTTACTTATTTCATATCAATTTAGTGATATGATATTTTAAATTTTTTTTAGTTGATTATCAAAGTTCACAACTTAACATGTAATTATGGGTATGTACGTACAACTCATCTACCAAAAAGTTACCCGGACGAGAATAAATAAATTTCCTTTCCGTAGTCCTCATAATTCATCTTTGACATATAGAAATTATAAGAAAGAATTCTAATCGCAGCAGGAGAACTATGGTAACAATCTATTAAAAAAATACGGAATAATAAATCAGGAAGATACTAAATAATAGTATGGGAAAAAGACTAAAATAGAAATATAACATTAAAATATACTGAGTACTAAAATAGGAGTTCTATATTTTTATTCTTGAAATATGAGTTAAAATGCATTTATATTATTAATAATGGCTATATACATTACTTAAAATGTAAATGTAATGTATCATATTACCACATTGTAAACTTTTATATAGAGAATAAAACATGAAACTCTATTTTGGTGATTTTTACAATAATTTTCTATTTTTTAATACATCTATTATTCCTCATATCAAATTTGACCCCTCAAAATTGTTGTTTACTTTGGTATAAAATTAAGTATATCAATAAATAATTTAATGGTGCATGCTCCGTTGACCAGAAGATACCGTACCTTAAGCTTTTACCTTTTTAGGTAGGCACTAGGCAGCCACATGTATATGTCAAATTTAAACTTTTTCGGTTAATCAAGAATGACTTTAATATATAATTACATAAAAATGTCATCATTTATTAATTAAATAAAGTTATTTTTAAAAAATATTTTATGATTTAAATCTAATAAAATTATTTTTGGATCAATATCGATCTAATAAAAATTTAAATCAATAAAACATAGGTAGTAATTCAGTAATTGAATCTTTTGCAATGCAGTACAGTTTATAATTGATCGTGTATCATATATTGTGAAATAATGAATCATCCCATTGTGGGTTTGGATATAGAAAAATTTGCCATATGCGTTCGTTAGCAATAAATGTTAGATAATGACTGATTATATGAATGACTTTATAAATGTGGTTATTAGGAACAAGTGTTCAATGCTTATTTAAATCGTTCTGTATAATGTCTTATTCTACTTGAATTGTGTAATTGGTCATTTTTCTCAAAGGTAGACATTTTAGAACTTTGCATTGCCAAATTTTAGAGTATACTGTATATAGGACTGGACCTATTTAAAAAAAGTGAAATTTGCAATAAATAGGATTAAAACATAAGTGATTTTTCAATGTAGGACTTAAATTTTTTTATTCTATAAGTAGTATTTAATAATGTATAGTGAGAGAAATAATGTCCAGTGATGACGGACGACATTTACTTGAATAATGACTAAAGGGTAATGACCAATGATCTTACATTAGTAAATAGAAATATATGGTCCTATATTGAGAAAATCATTATATTTTAGTTTTTTTTAGGTAAATCCTATTTAAAAAAGGTGATATATTTAAGTCTCATTTGCTTAAATTTCTCTTGGATATGTATATTTATATAAATGTAGGGAGTTCCCAATTGGAGAAGGCAAGGTTTTGCAGTTCCTATACAGCAGCAAGAAGGTGCAGAGCAGCAAGGGCGGGCTGCCAGCGGCTCCCGTTTCTGCTCACGTCTTCAACAGGCCAGAATACAGTGAGATGCTGAAGGGGATGAGCACTCCAAGTTGCAGCCCCAGCGAGGTGATCCACGGCCCTGATTTCCAGGAGTCCCTGTACTGCCACCTCCTCTCCGCCCTCATCTTCCGCCACCGAATCCAGTTCGTCGCCTCCGTCTTCGCCCACGGCATCATCCTCGCCCTACGCAGGTTCGAGCAGGTGTGGGAGGAGCTCTGCGCCGACATCCGCACAGGCGTTGTTTCCACCGCGAGGGTCTCTTCCCCCTCGGTTCGAGCTGCCATGTCGAAGCTCCTGTCTGAGCCCGACCCGCAGTCCGCGGACGAGATCCACCGGACGTGCAAGAGACTGATGGAGAAGGGGTGGTCCGGACTGATCCCCGAGCTGTTCCCCAACGCAAAGTACATCCATTGCATCATGACCGGGACGATGCAGCCTTACGTGAAGAAGATGAGGCATTACGCCGGGGAGACGCCTCTGTTGAGCGCAGACTACGGGGCTTCCGAGGGATGGGTCGGGCTGAACGTGAACCCGAGAGATCCGCCGGAGACCGCCACGTTCGCGGTGGTCCCGAATGTGGCCTATTTCGAATTCATCCCGTTGAAAAATAACGGCTCTCCGGATTCGGATTCGGCCACGGTGGGCTTAACGGAGGTTAGAGTCGGGGAGGAGTACGAAATCGTGATGACAAACGACACGGGAATGTACCGGTACCGGTTGGGGGACATTGTGAAGGTGCACGGGTTCCACAACAAGACGCCGCTGCTGCGATACGTTTGCAGGAAAAATGTGCTTCTAAATATCGACATCGACAAGAACACGGAGGAGGATCTCCAGCTCTCCGTGGAGGCAGCCGCGGCGAAGCTCTTATCGTCATCAAACAACAAGACCGAATTGCACGACTTCACGAGCCATATCGACAAGTCGGCGTACCCGGGGCACTACGTCATATTCTGGGAACTGAGCGGGGAGGCAACTGATGACCAGGTTCTGCAGGAATGCTGCGATTGCATGGACCGCTCCTTCGCGGACATGGGCTACGTGGTCTCCAGGAAGACGAAGACCATCGGCCCGCTGGAGCTCAGGGTGGTGAGGGGTGGGACGTTCGGCAAGATTCTGAGTCACTATGTTGGTTTGGGGACTGCTGCCAACCAGTTCAAGAGTCCCAGGTTTGTTGCCGAGACAAATGGTGCGGTTCTCGGGATACTTGCCCACAACCTCATCAAATCTTTCTTTAGTTCTGCATATGATTGATCTGATCATGGTTGTTTGTTTGGCTTTTTTTCATTTATTGTTTAAAATAAACCGTACTCCTTATGTGGGGACGTGATGGATGCCATGAACTTTTGATGTTTTTTCTAAATATGTACTACCGAGTAAGTTTTATTTTTTATTTCAATACTACTTCATAAATAAAATATGTCGGAGGCAAAACTATATACTTCATAATGACTTTCCCTAAATAGCATCACATGTGTTTTTCTTCTCAATGTAGCATTTTTAGTCATTGTGTGTTAGTCATTATTCAAGTAAATATTGGTCATCACTGGACATTATTAAGTGCTATTTAGGGAATAAAACATTTTCACTATGTTTGGTTCAAGGAATTTGAAAGGGAAAAGAAAAGAAAATGGAGTAGAAAACAGTTTTTCTTGTTTGGTTAGAGGGGAAAAGAAAGGAAAAGTGGAAGGAAAAGAAAATGAGAAGGAAAAATGTACCAAGTGGAGGAAAAACCAAATTCTTCCCATTTTAGTAAGGAAAATGAGAGAAAACCATTTCTTCTTCTTTTCCTTCCAAATTCCTTGAACCAAACATAGTGTTTAAGTGTTATTTAGAGAAATGACTCAAGTTTTAGTACTATTTAGTGCAAATATTTTTTTGATTTCAATATTACTTTATAAATATCATGGGCCGGCCCATATAATATGGAACCGAAAGGCAGATGGATCTCGAGATGGCCGGCGCCCTGACTAAGAGTCGGGGCAGCGAGGGGTGGTCGGGGCATACTTGAACCAAACGCTTCCAAAGGACGAACAAAATGACACGAAGAACCATTTTTCAATTCCGCGAGCCAGTTACTTCAGGTCAAACTACCCTCGGTGACATCCGTACAACGCATTTAATGCAAAGGTAGGGTATGGGATGGGCTCAGGCATGAGTGATTCTAATTTGATGATCTGATTGAAATAGGTTCTAGTCTGAACTGATCTAATTGTTGGGAAACGAGGCTTGGATAACGCAGCGGAAAACAAAAATTTATAGTCCAAAACTCGATTCCACCCAAGAACAACTTACGTAAATTACTAGCTATAGTAAGAAATTTACCTTAACGGTGAAAACGAATAACGGAGGAACGGTCGGGGATGGTTTTCAGGAGATGAACGTAGCGCCAAACGTATGAAGCCTCCAACGTATCCACACGAACTTGCTCCGGAGTCCAAGATTAAACTTTGGCTAGCAAGTTTAATATAGGATAGTAAAAACTATAATAATACTACTTTGGAAGTAATAAATATATAGTAAAATATTTGTTTATAATATTTTGTGTATATTTCTATCACTTTAGAAAATAACTTTGAACACAAAATATAATTTTCTTCTCTCTTCCTTGTGATGGCCGAAACTCACACACTAAAATGGGGAGGGATTTTTCTCATTTTATAACATAATACATTAAGGAATTTCTAGGAATTTGCTTTGGGACAAAACAAAATGAGATTAGTGTAATGTCCCCAACTAACACAACAAGACAAGTATACTTTTGTTAATCAAATATTTGATTATAAAATCAAATATATCATTAGGTGGAATATCAAAATATGTTTTTGTATTTTTCCCCTTAGAATTTCGGCCATAGTATATTAAAATACATTACATTTTATTTTTGCATCAATAATTATCATATAATTAAAATGATGAAAATAAAAGTAATATATATATATATATATATATATATATCGGCGCTACATATATATATATAATAAAAATTTGTTTTGTCAAAATATAATTATCATATAATTAAAATGACACAAACAAAATATAATTTTAAAATATATATATATATATGTATTTTCGAAGTACATATATATATATATATATATATATATATATATATAATTATCACAACTATATATTTAATATTACTCTCTTTAGTGTAGTATACTACTCCCTTACAAGTCCTAAGTGTGTGACCCTTTAGGTATCCATAACACTGGCAATGATATTAATTAATATCATAGATAATAAGCGGTATCTAGCAACACATTATTATCCCCAGATTATGAAAAAGACGTTCATCTCATCAATAGCTTCTACGACACAAGACGTTCTATAACTATTATCCTTCTGTCCTATATGTCATGATTTAACACAAGGCATGGGATGTGTATCCTTGTATAGTTAAATCAGCTGTTACTGAATCTCAAGTAGACTGGCAGGGATCAGATATTTATCAGTCTCTAGATAGCGACATATCTGGGCATCGCCATGCACTTTCCCAAGTCCTACTACTCAGTGGGCCCATTGACATTATACTTCTATACAGTAGAAGGGGCAGATCCTGTATCTCTTATTCACATCTCTAAATATGCTTAGCGGCATACCCAACGCATAATTATACGTCTACCAGTATTTCAGATAGCATTAGTTATGAATCAAAGCATACGGCCCCACATATCAGAGAATGTAATAACTTCAAGTCTGAGGATAGTTATAGCAAGGTCGATTTGAGAATACTGATAAACACATTACTGTAGATTCATGCAGTATTCTCAAGATGGGTCAATCCAGTCACATATTATCAATATAGTATGCACCTACGTACAGATTAAGATATCACAATACCTATAGTCTATGAGACGCAACTATCTCATCTCGTACGTACTAGTCTTAATACGTTATGACGTCCGTATTATCATAAAGTGCGACTAGGGATATTCTAGACACAGCCTTCGTCAAGAAGTAACAGTCTCATAATCAGAACATCGTAGTCCTCATCTATGTTACTGAAGCGTTATCGTCTATGGACTGAAGCTATGTTATGTTACACGAGATATAAAACATACTTCAAGGCCTTTCATTCATGATAAAGTGTACAATTACATAGGTTTTTGATTGCCGCTAGGGCACCTAAATACAACAATCTCCCACTTGCCCTAAGGCCAATCAAGCATTTCTCGAATGCCCATGGACCACGTATGACTCTCGTGTTTAGGCTTTCCCAAAGCCTTCGTCAACGGATCCGCGATATTGTCGTCTGTACCTATCTTGCAAATCTCAACGTCCCCACGTGCAACGATTTCTTGTATGATGTGATAACGTCTAACGATGTGTTTGGTCTTCTGGTGAGACCGAGGTTCTTTTGCTTGTGCAATTGCCCCATTGTTGTCGCAAAACAACGGTATAGGGTTCTTGATGCTAGGAACCACTCCAAGCTCAGTAATAAAATTCTTGAGCCACACACCTTCCTTGGCTGCCTCGGCTGCAGCCATGTACTCTGCTTCTGTAGTGGAATCAGCGGTAGTATCTTGCTTGTAACTCTTCCAGGTAACAGCTCCGCCATTCAAACAAAACACATACCCTGCCTGCGACTTGAAGTCATCTCTATCAGTTTGGAAGCTGGCATCAGTATATCCAACAATACTGAGCTCTTCTTTTCCGCCATATACCAGGAAGGCATCCTTAGTCCTACGGAAGTATTTAAGGATGTTCTTCACAGCCGTCCAATGGCTTTCGCCAGGGTTGGACTGGTATCTACTCGTGACACTCAGAGCAAAGGCGACATCAGGTCTCGTACATACCATCGCATACATGATGGATCCAATGGCCGACGCATAAGGAACATTTCTCATGCGTTCTACTTCCTCCGGAGTGGAAGCACCC